AATTAAAACTCAACAAGCATAATGAAACTCAAAGAAAAATTCTGCATAACTAGGAAATGGCTCAGTTCTAGGCGTGGACTGGTATCTAAGAAGTATAGTGAAATATGGATCAAATCTAGGAGGATGCTAAAAGCTGATACACACTTCTCTGGTCTGTAAACATAGTGTGAATTTCACTAAAAGGAAGTGGAAGGCTTTGAGTGTCCATCCTATGAGGTTTAGGAGTTGGAGCAGGCCATGTGAAAAATATGGAGCTAGTTCCATATCTCAGAATAGTGGGAAAGTAAGGATAAAGGAACAGTATATATATATTTTTTAATATTTGGCTTCTAACCTGTATTGAAGTGAGAGGGGAGAAAGGAAGAAGTGAGCTTTGCAGAAGTTGACCAGAATCAAATGAACAGAAATGAAGAAGAAATAAATTAGCAAACCAAAGTTGGCCAAATTGCTTTACTCTAATTATACAGATGAAGTGCATTTCATGTTAAGAATTATTTCAGGGGAAAAAAAATTATTTCGGGAAACAGAAATTCCAGAAAAATGCATCTCTGTTCACTCAAATAATATGAAGGGAACATAGAGTTTTTAAAAATTGGAATTAAGGAAAAGAAGGCAATTCCCTTCTAGTGATGAGATTCATGGGCTATGAGGCTTTGGAGATGTTGCAGCCACATTCCCTGCCTCATGAAGGAAGCTGGTCTGTCTGTGATAGTAAGAGCAAGTCAACGTGTAGAAGCAGAATAAAAGACAAAACCAAAACAGACAAACCATCCTGGTTGAGACAAAAAGGCATGGTGATAGTGACATGCAAGTGTTATCAATAAGGTCTTGATGCTTTTTATGCATTTCTTAAAGATAGATGAGGTACTCCAGTATCCTTCTAATACATTGCTTTTCTTTGAGCTAGTTCACATTAGGCTTCTACCATATACTTGCAACTAAGAGTTTTGTAAAATATAATTTAGATATAAAGGCAGGCAGAGAAGATCCAACATATGCATTATTGGTGTGCCTGATAAAGAGAGCAGAACCGGTGGACTGAAAAAATTTATATGGGTAATAAAAAAAAATCTTTAGAAATTAAGGAAATTCGTAGTAGGTAGAATCAAAAAGTCACATGTGCCTTCTAGGAAGAACTGAAACAGGATGATCAACGGCAAGTAAACACAAGGTAGTAAAGTTAGTGTGCTTCAAGTTTAAGAATCTTATAGACATCTGGGCAGAAAAAGTGAGTCATTCAAAAGGTGGAAAATCAGAGTGGCCTCAAATATGGTGATAGTCAAAGCTAGGAGGCAGTGGATAAGTGTTTCTAGAGCTTTGGTGGGGTATTTGTGGGAAGACCCAATACGTGGTCAAGCTATGGTTTATGTTTATATTTAAACAATATTCTCAAATATTCAAGAACCTTGTTCCTGAAAAACTGCCTCATGAGTCAAATTAGTTATTTATGTGACAAATAAGGGAAAAGAACTTAGGAATGGAGAAGCAGATATTCTTTGAAAGGATTGGCGGGACATGTGGAATCCACTTAAATACCGAACTAAGTCAAATCTAAATAACTGCATTTTATGAAAACAGAAGAAAATGTAAGGACTATACAATTAGTAGCAAGGGAGGATTTATAACATAAGGTGGAGGAAGATAGAGGAGGTAAAGTTATATATAAATAGGTGAAGTCATTTTTCTTAGTGGAGAGAGAGTCAGTAGATCCAGCCAAACGTTGATGAATTTGCTGGTCTGAGGTGAATCTTGGCATTGCCACATACCAGCTGTGTAACTTTAGATAAGTTTAAACCTCATCTGTAGTCACAGAATCTTCATCTGTGTCATGGAGATAATGATACTACCAACCTACCAAGATTGTGGCGAGGATTAAATGCAGTAATGTATGTGAAGTGCTCCAACCGGTGCCCAACCCAGAGTGAGCAGTCAATAAAATTGACTCTTATATATTATTATTATTATTATTATTATTATTATTATTACTTTAAGGAAAAAATATGGGCAGATAGTTTTATGAAATTAGTATGTGGGGGTCTTTCTAAGCATAACTCTAAGCCCAGAGACCATAAAGGAAAAGATTAATAACTTGACCTCAGAAAAAGTAGAAGCTCAGCGGAGAGCCTGCTTCCTCCTCTATCTCTCTCTCTCTGCCTGCCTCTCTGCCTACTTGTGATCTCTTTCTGTGAAATAAATGAATAAAATCTTAAAAAAAAAAAGAATCAATGAACAAATACTCAAGTAGGGGAGAATAACTGCCATCTATTTGACAGAAGAGGGGTTGATATTATTAACATTCAGGGAACACGGATAGGTAAGCTAATGAGAAAATATAAAGAACCCTGTGTAAAAACAGATAATCTAAGTGAATATTATACAGAAAAATAGCAATGATAAAAATTTGAAAAAATAGTCTAACTTATAATTAAAGAGGTAGAAATTTAAAATGAGATGCCATTTTTCACTTATCAAATTGATAAAGATGAGAAAGTTTGAAAATATTTAATGATAGGGTATGGCAAAATAGGCATTATTGGACCTTTTTTGGGGGGCAAGTTGGCATTTTCAAAATTAGAAATGTTCATACCTTTTATCTCTGCAATACTACTTTTAAGAATATATTCTACAAATATATTGAGAGTACAACAGTATATGTAAAAGGGTATTGTTTTATAGCATTGCTTAAAGGAGAAGGGATTTGGAAACAATTTACTTGACTACTGATAAAAGTTTGTTAAGTAACTTAAGGTTCTTATGTACCTTGGAATATTATATAGCCATTAAAACAAAAGATATGTAAATTTATGTACTGATAATGGGAAAGTGGCCAGGCTATAGTATGTAGAGAAAAAAGTAAGTTATATGAGACTAGATACAGTATTATTTATTTACTAAAAATAATACATAATTTATTCATATAAATGCATAGAAGAATTCTAGAATGTTACATAAGAACCATTAAAAATAGTTGTCTCTGAGGTGGAAAATGGAGATGTTATGAACTTTTGTTTTCATTTTACACCTTCTGGACTCTTTCAAATTTTATTGCAGGAGTCATCTTTTAATTTTATAGTAACTAAAACAGAGAAAAGTAATCTTCCATTGATGGTGACTGATGACTATGCTGGTTTTGAAAATTGAATTTAATATTTTGGGAATAAAATTATGTGGGATAAATAGCAAAATGAATCAAGTAAGGTCAACTATTCAACAGAGATTTTAAGTCCTAACTTTGCATGAAGCACTGAATGGACTTTTCCTGATGCTTGCAGTCCTGGGGAACAGATAATGCCTGATAAATGCTATAAAGAGAGATTCAGACATTTCTCCTAGAGGTTGTGTTTTCCTAATTAAAACCAGATGAAAGGAGATCTGTTTGCAAACACTGTTTTCACTACACAACCATTGTGGCAATACAACCCAGAAACTAGCATCATGGACAAAAGCAGTGCTTTTGTTAAGTTTTGTGAATTCAGCTATGCCACTTTGGTTGCCTTTGGTTTCAGTTATCATAAATAATGGCTGCTGATGGGGGAGAGAAAATGTGAGCAGGTATGCTCATGATGATACTGATGGTGATAGGAAAAGGAGATGCAGTATTCCTGAGCAAAAACTAGGTTTGATCAAATCCTCTATCAGTGATGCTTAACTTTTATGTCACTACATACTTATTGCTGTAAAGGCAATGATTTTATGAAGAAGATTGTACTTTTATGGAACCAAGCAGATCCCAGCATTTCCTGGAGGATGGCCATATAATTTATACAAATCTATTTAGAAATTGTGACTTTTTTCTATTAGAGACTCTGTGATTTCTCAAAATCTTTTGATTCCATTGAGCTCAAGACATTTGAACAATAGGAAATGGTTGCACTATCCCATTGGCATTGGCTGTTTGATCCTAAATATCCACATAGTTCTGCTATTTTTACAAATTTTATTTATATTCATTTAATTAACATATAACGTAATGTTGGTTTCAGAGATAGAGTTCAGTGATTCATCAGTTGCATGTAAACCCAGTGCTCATTACATCACGTGCCTTCCTTAATGCCCATCACCCAAATTCCCCTTCTCCCCACACTTCCCTCCAGTATACTACCCTCTCCTCCCCTCCAGCAACCCTCAGTTTGTTTCCTAGAGTTAAGAGTCTCTTATGCTTTGTCTTCCTCTCTGATTTCATCTTACTTTATTTTTTCCTCCCTTCCCCTGTGCTCCTCTGTTTTGTTTCTTAAATTCCACATATGAGTGAAATCCATAGTTCTGCTATGAATGCTTGTTTTGAAAACCTGAATTTGCTGCAGAGTAGCTGATATATTAGGAAACAATTTGAGCATAAATGAGCTTTGTATTTGCTTATGCACAATTTTGTCAGCAAGAAATACCAGGTGAACCACAGAATACTGCACCTAGTTGAACTGAGCCCTGCAGGAGTGTACAAAACGGCACCTCCACACGCCTGGGATATCTCCCAGCTACCTCACTTGGCGTGTTATGAGCCACACCCACCTGCGGCTGCTGCCACACCCCTTCCCTCTGATTCCCTCTGATTTCCGAGAGCCTTCTCTCCACGACTTAGCAGTTTAGCTCATGAACTCTGGCCTTCCAAACACTCACATTCACAAGCAAACTTCAGGTCTTTTTCAAAATAAGGTAATATACTTATGTATTTCTTAAGCATTTAACATATATAAAGCTGGGCTACCATTTTTCTTAGGTTCCTATCTTTTGTGTGTGTATCACAAAGTTTTTGAGTATTGTGTCCCGAACTGCATTTCCCTCGTAAGTCCTGTGTTTTCTAGTGTGTGATTTTTATAGTGTAGTGATTTTTAGGGACGTAGATGTCTCTTTATAGCAAAAATAACAACCTCTTTGAGCAAATCTATGCTGATCCTTTGTCCTTTTCATTTTAAGTTTATATAGCGCATCTGATTTGCAAAATTTCTTGAACAAACACCCCCTGACCGATGATGGAAATCTCCTTTTTCCTTTTGTTGCAGGTACTCCACTGCACCAAGTTAGCCCAGCATTTCCAGGGGTAAGCTGACTTCTCTAGTTCTTTACTGACAATTGGTTAGGCCTTTATAGTTCACATATACTAATGAATTAAGTGATTTTTCAACATTAAAATTTTGCAAAGAACTTCATCTTGGAAAAAGACCTCAAATGCTACATGTTGAACTCCTCTGGACTTCTCTAGACCTCTGTGACTTAAGTTTCATTATACTGCTGACTTTCCATACATTTATTGTTATATGAAGAAAATACCATACCAAGTTTGTTATGTGAAATACAAAGGCCAAGTAGCATGGGATTGAAAGCCATATATTTATTATTTGGAAATGAATTATTTGGGAAGAAGTTAGCCATCTTTCTTTGAGGGTTTTGTCTACTACAGTGATGATTTAGGTTTACATAAAATCTTTCATGCTGCATGTTGAAGTTCTTTTTGAGGTTCTAACATGATATGCATAGATCCAAGGAGTCACAAGGGTATAGTCACCTTCTTAACATCTGACTTAGAACGCTTACCTTGTTCTCAGATTCTGTTCCCTGTTGTATTTCGCTCAGTAGTTGCCTTGTGAATTATTTCTGTAAAATATGAGGAGTAGGAATGTATATTTTGGCTTGAATACTTGGTTTAAGATTTACTTTATGTTAAAGTATAGACTTAAAAAAAAGATTATTTATTTATTTATTTGAGAGAGAGAGAGAGAGACAGAGATAGCAAGAGGGAGCATGAGTGGGGAGGAGAGGGAGAGGAAGGTTCCCCGCTGAGCAGGGAGCCTGATGTGGGGTTCAATCCCAGAACCCTGGGATCATGGTCTGAGTCGAAGGCAGATGCTTAACCAACTGAGCCACCCAGGCACCCCTGAAGTATAGACTTTTACTCTAACTTTAGAAGATGGGAACGTGGCCTTAAGTTGACATTTAAGAATTCTTTAAATTTTCTCTTTGAAAGAACGTATCTTTGCCAGTGTAGCAGAAGGACGGTACAGCCATGACCTTAAAATCTCCTCCTCTTCTTCAGAGAATACATACTTGTTAAGTGCCTACTATGTGTTGTACTGTTTTATATCTGGATAATATGATGATGAGTAAAAACAGTACTGTCCTTCCTCTCTAATCTAGTGGGGAAGATAGACATTCATCAATTACTGACCAAAATATGTAATTATAAATTGTGTTAAGTGCAATGAAGAAAAAAGCACAAGTTCCTTTGGAGGAGAAAAAACCAGGGAGACCTAATTTGGATAAGTGATTAAAAAAGGCCTTTCTGAGGAAGTGACATTTAAACTGAGACCTACAGTATAAGGAGTTTACCGGAAGGGAAAGGGGGTGGAAGGATTTCCAGGCAGAGGCAAGAGGTTTTGTGATATCATTTTATAGTACTTATGACCTTTTTAGATGCTTATATAATTAGGTACTAGTCTATGAGCAAGACAGTTTATAGAGCTGTGTTACTGAAAAGATGCATATAAATTACATTTTTATAAATGAATTCCTGAATTCCTGCAGGCTTACATTATATTCACTGTGCTATATCATCTGCATTTGATTGATGTTCAGTTACTTCAATTACTGCTAGATTGATCTTTCTAAAGCACAACTTTGATGATGCTTTTTCCTGCTCAGAAATCTTTACCAGCTCCCCAGTTACCCAATAAAGTCCAGACTTCTCAGCCTTATGGTCAAGCTATTCCATATTGGTCCTAGTTTCAATGTCCTCCTTCATCTTTAATTACTCCTCTTTGGGCAGTACTCTGTGTTAGCCAACAGAATTTCTAGATGAGTATGGATGCTTTCCTATATGTCTGCCTTCACTTGTGTTAGCTTCTCTTTCCTTGCAATGTGTCTACCTTCTTCCAAGCTGGTCATGCATATTTCCAGGCCCATCTCAAATGTTCCCATCTAATCTCAGCCTCTTTCTCCGATCCCTCAAGCTGTATGTCACTTCTTTCTCTTCTCACTTCTTATGACATTTTATTTTTACTGCTCTTGAGGCACTTCTCCCTTCTTACTTTGTTTTGAAGTTATTTCTAGGCATGTCTTATCTTCCCAGCTAGACTTATAAGCTTCTTGAGGCCAAAGCCTGTGATGGGTAAGTCTTTGCTTCTCTCGCTGTGCCTGACACAGTCCCTTGCAATGTAGCCTCCAAAGAAAAATTTTGGAAGGAATTTGTAAGTTAATTTTTGGTTGCTTGATTGCTCTTCAAAAGTAGTTAATGATTTCTAAACAGATGTATCCAGGGACTGAAATATAAATATATATAAGAATCTTTTGTAATGTTAGTCTTCCTAAATTCAGATTTTCTTACAAAGGGATGCTACTTGTTTGGGATGTTTATATGTCTTTTTGCCCATTTCAGTGACATTGATTCACAGAGATTATTTTAGATTCATAAGTGGTGCTGTCATTTCCATTTTTGCCTCCCTTTTGAAGGTTTGCATGCTCATTTAGCCATAAAAAAGAATGAAAAGAACAAATCAGCACCCTCTCTGGTTGTTGATACCCAGCGGGGAGAAATAGATTTGAAAGCATGTCTAGGTAATGTATTTATTTTGATTGTTTTGGGTTTTCCAAGTGAATGTGACTTTAAATGAGTTTGGAATAGTTCCATATAGAATTTCATTATTCATTGGTTCATTTGGACCTATACTTTTGGTAAACAACTTCTTATTTATAACTTTTTATTAAAACCTATTTCCCTTCGAGAAGTTGTACCCTTCACTTCTATTTGAATAAACATTTGAACAGCTTTTAGATAGCTCTTCAACATATGACTGTAAGACCCATGTCATGGCTTTAGTTGATATAATTCTCAGGGTTTTTTTTTTTTTTAACTGAAATAACATTATCTCAGGTGATATTTAAATATACAAGTGGTGATATATTTCTTATAGAAATATGTATCTCCAAGGACAATTAAAACAAAGTATGTGTAAATATTTATAATTGATTTAGTATTTGTAATTAACTTTATTGTTTTGGCTAGAAGCATTTCTTTATAAGTCTCAGTTATATTCATTTTTTCCTCCTTTTATAAGTGGTAGTTTTTTAAATGAGAAATCATTTAGGAATTCCACATCTTTACGATTAGCTCTGTTGTTCTTAAAATTTAGCCCTGGGATAGAATATGATTCTGTACCAGTTAATGAGTGTATATGAATTATCAGAGGGTTTTTTCCTTAAATATATTCTTTACTTTTCATATAAAATTATAAAAAAACAAAAATATTAAAAAGTTATAAGGAAAAAATGAAATGTGTCCTTCATTCAGAATTCTTCAGAAACAACCTTCTTCAGAAACAACCATCACACTAGCTATTTGTTAATAAAGATCAATCTCTGGCTACATAATAATTATGACCACATATAAATCTGGGTTAAAAAAAATCTGACTTCCTCTCTGGAGGCAGTTTTCATATTGGATTAAGTTGGGGACCCTAGATTTTTCAAAATTCCTTTAAGATTATTTTGACATGATAATTGTGGATTACTATTTAGGAAGATCATGTGACGGGAGACTATTAAATTTTTCTAGTTACATTGTCCACATGATGAGTATTTCTAAAGACTGTGTGTTTTACTTTTCTAGTCTTATAAATTTGAAATACCTTGTTTTATCAACAAACGTGGCCGAGAAAAGTAGTAGTGCTGTAATTCCCATAGTTAAAAACTATGTATTTTTGAGCCGTTAATCACTGAAGGCATTTGAAAATGTTTTCATCTGCTAATTTGAGTGATGATTCAATTGTCAATGTAGCGTTCCTCTCTTTGATTCCTTGGATCCATATCATAGGACAAGATCCTTTATGTAATTTTCATTTGGTCATATGCGACAGCATGTAGGGATCCAATAAATGACTAGAAAAAGACCTTGAGAACAGATATAGAGTCTGTATTAAGCAGTATCACATTGAAGGAGGTAATAAGAAGCTCTAAAAGGTGGAAATGAAATCATTTTGTTTATTAAGGTTCTTTCATTCATTCAGAAATTTGATTTCATTGAATTATGTACTTGATATTGTTCTGGAGTTTTTCAGCCCTGGCACTACTGATAGTTTGGACTGGACAGTTCTTTTTGAGGGGTCGTCCTATGCATTGTAGATGTTCAGCGGCATCTCTGGCTTCTATCCTCAGATGCCACTAGTGCAATCCCAGTTGTGACAATTAAATATGTCCCCAGACATTGCCAGATTTCCTCCAGGGGACAAAATCACCTCTGGTTGAGAATCACTGTTTTAGATGAACACTGTAAAAGCAAATTTTTTGAAATGCATTTTGCATTTCTTCCCTATTTCAAATGTTGTACGTGTTCCATGTGATTTGATCTTTCAATATTTTCCAGGTAGTGCCCTACCTGAAAAAAAATGGCTTAGGTGCTATAATGGAATATGGAACTAGCCATATTAGCTATAGAACTGCTGAAAAACCTTACATTTGAAAATTAACAGGTGATTTAATCATGATTCTATAGCATTTGTAACATCCTGGATCAAAGAATCTACCTCTTTCTTGATCTTTTGGAAAATACTTTGGAGCCTAAGAAAAAATTTTTTACAAAGAAACCTTCTAATGCCTGTTATTTTTCCTCCTCTAAGTATGATCCTATTCATCTTTTGTTTTAAAGGCTCTGGAACTTATTGGTACTGCATAAAAATTCCATTATTATAGAGACTCTTCTCTTCTCTGCTGCATCCTTTTCTGAAGTTATGAGAGATGTGAAACATATTCTGAAAATTCATTCAAAGCTTTAAAACTTATTATATCCAGGAGAGACAGATTTAAGATTGCTGAGGTTTCTGGTTGGGGTACTTCAAGTAGAAATCCATACTCCATTAGGCTCTATAACATTGTGACCTTAATTTTCCAGATATTTTGCCCTTTAAATTGAAAGCAGTATTTTAATACTATTTAAGTCTTCTGGAGGGGCTTGTAATATCACAGACTTAAGTTGTGAAACATTTGAAACAAATGAAAAGTAAAATAGCAAGTGATTTAGGCCTGTAGAATTTTATATATTTTTATTCTAAA